GGAAGAGTATAAAGTTATCATCAAGTTTAAGCACGAGTCTGACAGGGCCCCTAACCCTCTGAAACTTTCCTCAGCAATCCGAGATAAGATAGGCGAGATATTGAATGCAAAAGTCCTTTCGAATGGGGAATGTGTTGGTGTTTTGTAGATCCGAGGCACAGAGAAAGAAAGCTCTGGCCTTGAAGCACTTGGCTGACAGGGCTGTTGAGAGTTATATTCCTGGGCCTAGCCAGAGTCATGGAATACAGGGTGTAATATATGGTGTAGATACTGATATCACAGAGGAAGAGCTTATAGAAAACATTTGTGGAGCTGAAGTGAGTGGGGTGAGGAGGTTTAAAACTATGAGGGAAGGTGAGAGAAGCGACAGCACTGCTGTATTACTGACGTTTAAAGATGAGTTTCTGCCTCAAAAGGTAAGCTTAGGATATTTGGTATATCCAGTTAAACCGTATGTGCGGCCACCATTGCGTTGCTATAAGTGCCAGCGGTTTGGTCACATCGCTGCAGTGTGCAGGGGGTCGAGGAGGTGCGGAAAGTGCGCAGGAGACCACGATCGCTCTGAATGCACAAGTTCTGAGGTGAAATGTTGTAACTGTGGTGGCAATCACATGGCCGCCTTTCGTGGGTGTGAACATGGGGTAAGAGCTCAAAGAGTTGAGGAGATCAGGTTGAAAGAGAATGTCACTTATGCAGAGGCAGTAAAGAGGGTGAGCCAGCTGTGTGGGGCAAAGCAGAGGCGCCCTCCGGTGGCCGCTCACACCCAAATACCAGAAAATTCATTAATTGTGGACAAAACGTCTTTCTTTGCGTTCTTAGTTGAAGTACTGTGGGCAGCCAAGCAAGTGAGCACTCCCTCGGCTTTTAAGGCCATGATAGCCAAGGAGGCAGGGAGATTTTTGGATTTGTCTGTTTCCCCAGAGCATCTTAATTTGAATAGTGTGCGCAGTTCACAAAGTGCGTCAGTAGAGAACGAAGAAGGAGATCCACTTCGGCCTGGCATCAGATAACTGAATGTTTCACATCCTCCAGTGGAATGCCCGTAGCCTTATTGCAAATGGCCAAGAGTTTAAACGATGTGTAGGACAGCTGAAAGAGGGAAAGCCTGATGTGATTTGTATTCAAGAGACGTGGCTAAAACCTTGTTTAGACTTTGTCATTCCTGGGTATGAAGCTATAAGGAAAGATCGGGAAGATAGACCTGGAGGAGGGTGTGCAATATTTGTGAAGGTGGGGGTGCAATATGAACGGCTGATTTTAAACACTGAATTGGAGTGTGTTGCGGTGAATGTGTGGGTGAGCCAGGGAAAGGTGGGAGTGGTGAACTTTTATAATCCATGTGCAAGTTTGGATATTGTTGAGCTTGAAGAAATGCTTAGTGGGATAGGGCAACACTTAGTATGGGTAGGTGATTTTAATGCACATAACCAATTGTGGGGCAGTAACAGCACAGATACGAATGGACAGGTGGTAGAAGACATGATGGAGCTGCACGGGTTGGTGTGTTTAAACGACACTAGGGCCACCAGGTTTGACATTAGAACAGGGAACGTGTCATCTATAGACCTATCCATAGTATCAGCCCAGCTGGCTAGTAGGGCAATGTGGAACACATGGGAAGGGTACACTATGGGGAGTGATCACTTCCCAATTTTCATTCGGTTTGGGTAGTCCCTTGTGATAGAGGAGCAAACTAGGCCTAAGCAGCTAAATTATAATAAGGCAAAATGGGGAGAGTTTTCAGAGGCCTGTAGCAGAGACTTGGATAAAGTTGATGACCGGACAGTGGATGACTGGAGTAATAGTTTGTGCAGTATGATTGCTGATAATGTTAAGTTGTTTATTCCAGAAAAGGGTAAACCAAGAGAAAAGGGTTGTGTTCCCTGGTGGAACAAGGACTGCAGTGCCGCTATCAGGAATAGAAATAAAATGTATAAGAAATTTAGGAAGTATCCAACAGAGGAAAACGCAATAGAATACAAGAAATTGAGAGCAGTGGCCCGGAGGGTTATCAAGAATGCAAAACGAATGTGCTGGAGGCAGTATTGCAGCAAGCTAGGAGCGGAGACAACTCTCCAGCGAGTGTGGTCAGCTGTGAGGCGTATGTCTGGGGTTAAGCGTGCTCGGTCTATTCCAGTGTTAGAGAGTGAAAGAGGGGCAGCGGTTAATGACGAGCAAAAGGCAGATCTATTGTCCAAGGCATTTCAGGCAGTGCATAGTGGGGCAAACCTGGGACGGGAGGGAATTAGAAGGAGGGATTCAATGTTGGCTGTGCATCAGCATAAAACTGAAATGAATTGTGACAATTCTGATTATATAAACCTGTTCTTTACCTTTACAGAGTTAGTCAGAGCAATTGACAAGGGGGGTCATACTGCACCAGGAAAGGATGGTTTGATGTACAGAGTTTTTAGAAATCTTGGGGAGGATGTACTGCAAGAGGTTCTGTCGTTAATTAATAATGTATGGGCTGAAGGGCGTGTACCACTAGCCTGGAGGCAGGCAGTGGTTATTCCCATTTTAAAACCAGGAAAGGCTGAAAACAACCCAGGATCATACAGACCCATAGCGCTTACGTCGGTATTGTGTAAAATTATGGAAAGAATGGTGACAGACAGACTAGTGTACAAATTAGAAAAAGAGGGGTGGTTTGTCCCGTATCAGAATGGCTTTAGGAAAGGGAGAAGCACCATGGAGTCAGTATTGTCACTGGACTGTGATATTAAGAGAGCAATCGCCTGTAAAGAGGTTCTTGTGGCTGTATTTTTGGATATTGAGAAGGCCTATGATATGTTGTGGAGAGAAGGACTTATAGTGAAACTGTATGATGCAGGTGTTAGAGGTCGTGCTTTAAATTGGATTAAAGCGTTTCTATTAGGTCGTACAATTCAAGTAAAAGTAGGAAGTGCATTGTCCCAATCGGTAAACATTGACAATGGTACTCCACAGGGGAGTGTAATTAGTCCAGTTTTGTTTAATGTAATGATAAATGATATTTTTAAAAGTGTGGGGCCGGGTTATGGGGTGTCTCTTTTTGCGGACGATGGGGCGGTCTGGAGGAGGGGGAGAAATACTGGCTATGTTATTAATAAAATGCAGAGAACGCTAGATGGGATAATGGAATGGGCAAATCAGTGGGGGTTTAAAATCTCAGTGGAGAAGTCAAAATGCATAGTCTTCGGAAACAAAAAGGTTGGTAGTATAGGGCTGCAGTTGTATGGTGTGGCACTGGAAAGGGTCCGGATATTTAAATTCTTGGGGGTTTACTTTGATGAAAGGATGACATGGAAAGGGCACATTGAGAAAGTTGTGAGTAAATGTAATAAAGTTATTAATGTAATGCGTTGCCTGACTGGTAGTAACTGGGGAGCAGACAAATCCACCCTGTTGATGATTTACAGAGCAATGGTGCGGTCGTCTCTGGACTATGGAAGCCTGGTGTATGGGAATGCAGCTAAAACAAATCTGGTTAAGTTGGATGTGGTTCAAGCCAAGGCCCTAAGAGTGTGCTGTGGTGCCTTTCGAACAACATCAGTACCAGCTCTCCTGGTTGAGGTAGGGGAGATGTCCCTTGAGAAGAGGCGGTTAAAACTGGCCCTCCAGTTTGTGGCAAAATCACAAGGCCAACGTGAAGAGCATCCTGCTAGGAGGGTGATGGAGGATACATGGGAGACAGGAGGAAGGGGGGGGAGAACGTTTATTTATGAGGTAAAGGATGAGATTCCAGAGCTCAGGCAGAGGAACACGGCTCCGGTGGTTGTCTGGCCCTCAGTCCCGCCATGGCTGCTTCCTCAGGTGGAGGTGGACTGGTCCGTTAAAGAGGGCCTTAAAGAAAGGGGAAGAGTGTGTGCCCAAGAGGTTGTGAGGGAGGTATTGGTGACCAACTGGAATAGTGCCCTGCAAGTGTATACGGATGGGTCGGTCGACCCTCAGAGAAGGAGAGCAGGGTTTGGGGTACACAGCCCAACATTGGCCCTGAGTCAGGGCAGACGACTCCCAGATGGAATTGGAGTTTTTACAGCCAAATTGATGGCAATAGTGTGGGCCCTTAAATGGATTGAGCGATTGAGACTAGAGAGTGTGGTTGTCTGCTCAGACTCAGCGGCTGTGTTGCTGTCTCTTGAGGCAGGGTCGTCTAAAACAAGACCAGATCTTTTATATGAGGCTCTAAGCGTTCCGTGTAGGATAGAGAGGGGAGGGAATGATGTGGGTTTTTTGTGGGTTCCAGCGCATGTGGGGGTAGATGCAAATGAGGTGGTGGATAGGATTGCTAAAAATTCCTTGCAGAGCAAAAGAGTAGAGGTGGTGGTGGCATTTGGTGTGTGTGAGCATCGGCATCTAATTAAAATGAGAGTGTGTGAGCAGTGGCAGAGAGCATGGGACAGGGAGACAAGAGGAAGGCACTTTTACAGCATCCAGCAGAGTATTAGTGGGGGGGATAAAGCAACCCGGGGGAATAACAGGAAGGAGCAGGTTATGATAACCAGAATGAGACTGGGTCATTGTGGGCTTGCTCAAAGCCTGTATCGGATCGGTAAGCACAGAGATGGCCTGTGTGAAGAGTGCAGTGAGCAAGAGACAGTGAAACATGTTCTCTTACAATGTAGGAAATATGTGGACCAAAGAAGACTGCTGTTTTCTCGTGCTCTTCACCTGGGACTTGAGCGTGTGAATCTGAGATCATTGCTTGCTCCCCATGTGCAGCAGCAAGAAGTTTTTCGTGCGCTTGTGGAATTTATTTTTAGTACCGGACTGTACCAGAGAATTTGAATGGACCTAGGGTGCAATAATTGGATCCACCAGTGAAAGGCAGCAATGCGCCGACTGGCGCACAGTCTGCCGGAAATCCACAAGAAGAAGAAGAAGACATGAGGAGACCCGGATGCGAGAGGACGCGGGCGCGTTTTTGCTGCCGCTTCTCACTCCGGACGTAATAGCTTGTTTTTGCTAAAAGTAAGCGGTTTAACGTACCGATTTTTGCCTGGTGTCGGTGGTGTCTGATGTTGCCTCGGCGCCTGGACTGTTTCCTTGACTGGTTGCCCGCGTCTGCCGCCTGTCACAGCCTGTCAATGTGTGTCCCTGCTGTGCCCACCATCACGCTTGCTCCCGGGGCTGCCTCCGGCCAAGCCACGCTGTGCTCTTCTCAATCAGTGGATCACAACCCGGTTACTGGCCGGCCTGCACCCCGGAGCAGCCAGTCAGCTATGCGGCTACTGTTCGTGGCTTTCCTGCTGGCCTCTCTGCGGCTCCTGTCAACACCGGCTCCGTCCATGACGCTTCGTTACACAGCTCATCAGACTCAACCACCGCGCACCTCCTTCACTGGACATCACCTCAACTCTGCAACAACACTGTCTTGTCCGCCGTCGCCCCTACATCCACCGAGGGTCCCGTCGCAATCTTGTCTTCAATTTCACAGGCAAAAGCAATATTCCCTCTGTCTGGTCCGCCTGCAGATCCATGCGCAGCTCACACCGGCTTGGTTCCAACAACATCCGCATACGTCATCCGAGCACTCATCACGTGACTACATCAAACCTCCTGTCTGTCCCAATTTCTGCCACACAAACTTCACAACAAAAGCCTCTAAAAACAGCACTATTCAATACACGGTCACTCAGCAATAAAAGCCTGCTCCTCTGTGAATTCATCATTGACAATAAACTGGACATACTTTGTCTCACTGAAACCTGGCACAAACCCATGGAATACACCACATTAAATCAGACCACGCCACCTGGATATTCCTACATCGATAACCCGCGCCTAGACCGGAGAGGAGGTGGCATTGCAGTCATCCACCGCAGCAACATCTCCCTCCGCCCCATCTCCATCCCAGCTGTATCTTCATTCGAACACTTGGCCTTCAGACTCCCCGGTTCCCAATCACTCATTGCTGCAGTCATCTACCGCCCTCCCAAAACCTGTTCATCATTTCTCTCAGATTTTACTGATTTCGTAACTCAGCTGTCCTCCATTTCTCCATCCGTTCTCCTCCTTGGTGACTTCAACATTCATATTGACTCCCCTACAGTTAAATTTACATCTGACTTTTTGGACATTTTAAACTGCCTCAACCTCACCCAGCACGTCACTTCACCCACACACAACCATGGACACATCCTGGATCTGGTCTGTTCCACCCCCTCCTTCACCATACACAACCTGTCACTCACCGACCTCACCATTTCTGATCATCTGGCCATCACCCTGGACATAATTACCCCCTCTCCCACCACCAAACAGACACAAACAATTACTTTCCGAAATCTTAAGTCCATTTGTCCCATATCTCTCTCCTCCTCCATATCCCATGCCCTATCCAGCTCTTCCCTCCCTTCAGATCCATCTGCCTCCGATCTAGTCACTTTCTATAACCACACACTCTCCTCCTGCCTCAACCAAATTGCCCCCATGAAAACTGCCTCAGTCTCCTTCTCTACCTCCGCCCCTTGGTATACCCCAGATCTCCACAGTCTCAAAAAACAAAAGAGACAACTTGAAAGGCTCCATATAAAAACTGGTCTTCTCGTTCATGCACAAGCCTACAAACAAGCCACAACCACATACAACTCTGCTCTCAAAACTGCCCGGTCCAACTACTATTCACAACTCATCCACTCAAATTCTTCCAACCCCCGCACCCTATTCTCAACTTTTGCAAATCTGACAAAACCCAAGGACAATATAACCTCCACTTTCACTACAGACAAATGCAATAACTACCTGTCATTCTACCATACCAAAATCCATACCATACACTGTTCACTTGCCTCCACTTCCTCCTCTTCTCCCTACTCCGAACTTGAACCCACTGCACTCACAGTCCATAGCCTTCCTTCCTTCTCCCCCCTCTCTCCCTCTGACACCACCAAACTTCTCTCAACCATGAAATTTTCCAACTGCCAGCTTGACCCAATCCCATCTTCCTTCCTCAAAACCTGTCAACTAACTCTCATCCCTCTCATCACCCGCATCATCAACACTTCCCTAACCTCTGGTTCTGTCCCTTCCCCGCTCAAACTAGCCTCCATCACATCCCTCCTGAAAAAACCCGGCCTCAACCCTGACATCTTGGACAACTTTCGACCCATCTCCAACCTCCCGTTACTGTCAAAAATCCTGGAATGCGCCGTCATCTACCAACTCCACCAACATCTCCACTCCTCCCATCTCTTCGAAACATTTCAATCTGGATTCCGTTCACACCACAGCACAGAAACGGCACTTCTCAAAGTTACTAACGACCTCCTCCTCGCTGCCGACTCTGGTTCCTTATCCATCCTCCTTCTCCTCGATCTCTCCGCTGCATTTGACACAATAGATCATTCCATCCTCCTCCACCGTCTACAATCCATTGGCATTTCTGGCACAGCACTCCTCTGGTTCACCTCTTACCTCTCCAATCGTCTCCACTTCGTGTCTGTCAACAACTGCAAGTCCCACACTTCCCCCGTCACCCATGGTGTCCCCCAAGGTTCTGTGCTCGGCCCTCTCCTCTTCACCATCTACATGCTTCCCCTCGGTCAGATCATCCGCCATCATGGGCTCCATTTCCACTGTTATGCCGACGACACGCAACTCTACTGTACATCTCCACCAAATCCATCACCCCGGTTATTCGCTCCACCATCGAAAATTGCATCTTCGACATTAAAACCTCGATGGACAATTACCTTCTCAAACTCAACAGTAACAAAACAGAACTCCTCATCATCAGCCCCAAAACTCTCCTGCCCTCTGTCCAGAACTTCACCCTCCTCATTGACGGTCACATTGTCACCCCCTCATGTTCTGTACGCAACCTTGGCATCATATTGGACTCCACCCTCTCATACCAAACCCACATCACACATCACCAAAACCTCCTTCTTCCACCTCCGCAACATTGCCCGCCTCCGCCCCTCCCTTACCCAGCCAACAGCCGAAATCCTCATCCACGCATTCATCACCTCCAGACTCGACTACTGCAACAGCCTCCTCTACGGACTTCCCACCACTCATCTCCAAAAACTGCAATACATCCAGAACTCTGCAGCCCGCCTCCTCACCCACACCCGGTCCAGAGAACACATCACCCCTGTCCTCCAGCACCTCCACTGGCTCCCCGTTCAATACCGCATCCATTACAAGCTCCTCCTCCTCACCTACAAGTCCCTCCATAACCTGGCCCCGCCCTACCTTACTGAGCTCCTACAGCAGCACCAACCCACCCGCCACCTTCGCTCAGCCAATTCCAACCTCCTCACCCCCATCACCCGCACTAACCGCCGAACCTTGGGGGACAGAGCTTTTGCCATTGCCGCCCCAACCCTCTGGAACTCACTCCCACTGCTCATTAGAAACTCTGACTCACTATCTAACTTTAAATCTGTACTCAAAACCCATCTTTTCAAACAAGCTTTTCCGTAAACCCCTTTTATTATTGTATTCTACTCCCCATGTGAAGCGTCTTTGAGTGTCCAAGAAAGCGCTATACAAGTTTGATGTATTATTATTATTATGATACATAGACTCCATCAAGAATCCTTTCAGCACAGCAATAAATCTGATAAACACCTGCCAAATTAACTCAAACAAAATGGTGAAAAATTTACCATTGCAAGTTTGAAGAACTCAGCCGGGAAGCCTACACAAATGGAGCCCGCGAAGGTTCACTAGACTGATTGCCAAAGCTATCCCCTCCAAGCCTGCCTCTCATCCTCGGCCTATTGCAGAGCAAACGCCCATTCCCAGCCAACCTATGCAGGCCAGGCAAGCAGCTTAAAAGCGGAGACTCCCACTTCACGGCCTTCTCAAGCGATCGCAAACCACCGCCTCCCCTCCTCCGCCTCTCTCTCCTTGCTGGAGCGTGCGCTCTTTCCTGCTGCCCTAATATCACCACCAGTTCCTAGGCCTCGGGGGGATCGTGCGCGCACTAAGCAAGAGCCTCGCTGGCCCTAATTGCCGCACGGGGGCCTAGGACGCCAAACTACCTATCAATAAAACATTCAAACTGCATTTTGTCTTCTGAGTCTCTCCAGATTGAAACTCCAGCTGTGATTAACATCATATTTTACACAAAACTATATTCTTCTGAAAATGACCCATCCCAAGCAACACATTTCTTAATAATACTGAATTACCAAAAATGACTGAAAACCATGAAAATATGCTTGAATCATCAATATTAATGACAAACAACAAAGCACCAGATGGTTTCCCTGCCGAGTTCTACAAACATTTTTGGCCCATTTTCACTCCTCTCTTCCAAAGACTCAAATCAAAATTACCAATTCATATCAACTCTGCCATAATTTCACTTCTTCTCAAACCTAATAAAGACCCAACTTTACCATTCAGCTATTGCCCCATGTCACTTATAAAACGTTGATCTCAAAATAATTACGAAAACACTGTCCCGTCAAACCAAACCAACCAGATTCCACATTCCAAATTAGAACAAGATCTCTCACTTCTGGAATCAGATATGCAATAATATCTACTTTATGTCTAAAAATTCAAATCTACAACTTATACAATACAAAACAATACACATTACTCACCTCACAGGACAAATACTTTCTAAGTTCTCCACAAACTCTGACAAATGTACGAACTGCACACCAAACACGGCCCTAACCATCGCCAAGGAAACCAAATATTCACTGACTGGAAATTAAAATAAACATATCAGTATACAACAATGGAAAAATCTGCTTAGGGATTATTTTCTTACTTAATCTGAATCAACATTCCCTAAATTTACGACAATAGAACTAACTCAATTTCAAACCAAAGTCATTCAATTTCTTCAAATAAAAAATCGTATTTGCCATCAGATTTTTATTTTTATGAATTATCACTATTCTTTGTTTTCTGTTCATGACCAAGCAACTTCCTTCTTTTCTGTTCTCGACATAAAACACACACACACACACACACGTCGGGATATAAATTAGTGCTTCCCCACATTTTTATAACTTTAGGTATTTCGATCACACATCTATGGTATGTATACTATATCGTTTCTGTTTGTGTCTGCACTACATTAAAGGGGCAGTAACTGATTTTGTTAGCTTAGCCGTAGCACCAACCAGAAACCACTCCCCCCTCGCCTCTCCACCAAAAATCCAGCATTTTCTTGTCTTTGTCACAACAAGGAGAGTGGACGTGAAATTGGCATTTTCTTTTCAGCCCTTTTAGGTTTTGGAAAATCCGATAACTCCGGTGCGCACCGTAGACTGCACTCGCGAGAAACAGGAAGAGGGTGAAAGGGGTGAACACATCCCATTGGTTCGTTGGGGATGAACGAATCCTATTGGTCTATTTTTATCGGTCCGCTCCAAAATATTTTTTATTAATTTTTGGAGACTATAGGCGTCTGGTCAATTTCATTACTATTTCAAAATACATGATAACTTGACTACTTTTAGGAGTTAGGGACGTTTTCCCACAATATTTAATGCGTCTGGAAATAAATCACTGACTGCAACTTTAAATGAAGTTTGGATTTAAAGAAAACCGAATTTAAGAAGAAGAAAAGTTCAGGATGACAAGGGACACTAAAATCCCCACAAAATCCGACCTTTATTAAAGCTGTAGGTTCTCTTTCAGCTGAGGTCGAGCTGTTTTAATTTACATTGAG